AGAATTTGAATAAAAATGAGCTTTGCAAGATTTTGTAAAATCAGATACTTGTGAGAAGGGTCTCTGGATGGTGCAAAAGTTGAAGAGCTTACCTCCTAACAGAAATGTTGCAGGTTTCAAGCTAGCTACAGGTTCCTTGGGAGAAAGGTCTGGCAATCTGTTTCCAAAGATTAACAGTCATTGGAAACTATGGAGAGCAGCTCTGCTGTAATGCATGTACTTTGGCCATCGGTCAGATTTAACTCAATGACAGCTGCCTTATTTTCACATTTAAGAATGAAATAATCTCTGGAAAATCCCGTTGTTATTTTAAGGAAAGCATTCTTAATTTCCAGCATCCAAACTAAATTTTAGGTTAAAGTATCGGAAATATCTTTAAAACATGTGTAAAGTCCTTATTCTTGCATTTTTTTCTTCTATTATACATACCTGTTCTTATAGAGAAGGAGAAAGAAAAGCAGAGGAAAGAAATAGGTTTTAGAGATGTGAAGAAACATTTAGCAAATATGACATTTTTTGTGTTTGTGGAAGCACAGTTGAAAAGAATTTAAGCTCCCTTCTTTATTGCAGGTGGGTATGAGCCCCCGCTTACGAATGTCTTCACGATGCAGTGGTTCCTGACCCTCTTTGCTACCTGCCTCCCTAACCACACAGTCTTGAAGATCTGGGACTCAGTCTTCTTTGAAGGTTCGGAAATCATCCTGAGAGTGTCGCTGGCTATCTGGGCAAAGCTGGGAGAGTAAGTGATTTGCTCCGTCTATTTAGTTCTCCATTGTTGAGGGCTTTAAGCAGTTTATGTGCTTTCCCTTGTAAATCATCCATGTTTATGTGTGAGAGAAAGAGAAACTTGTTCAGTTTCTCTGACCTTGTGAAACCTCAGCTCTTGCATTCTTGACTGTTTCAGGGACAGTTGAACTCTGTTAGGCCTTCAGACTCTTCCTCAGTCTTGATCTCCTGGCTGGTTCACTCTTGGTGAGCCTCTCCCTGGACACTCGCTGGGCAGATGGAGAGAGGGAAACATATATGAAAGAGGATCTAGAAGGATCGAGAGGGTCAGGTGGATTTGTTGGATAATAGCATAATTCAAATTAATTAAGACCCTTCATTATATGTTTTGTTCTACCTTTTAGGACAGTAAATTAAACAAGATTACATGCACAGGCATACCATACCCTGTTTTATTGAGCTTTATAGATATTGTGAGTTTTGGGGGTTTTTTACAAACTGAAGTTTTGTGGCAACCCTTTATTGAGTCTTGGTACCATTTTTTCCAAAAGCATGTACTGATTTTGTGTTACTATGTCACATTCAGTTTGCTTGCCTCCACAATCAACACTCTTGGTACCAGCAGCCAGGAAATCAAAAGACAAATTACATTGGGAAAAATCTGCTCTCAGGGACCTCTCTAGAGTACTGAAGAGCAGTGATGTCAGTCTGAAAACTAAGGTGCACTTGATCCAAGCCATGATCTTCACAATTACTTGCTGTGCATCAGAAAGCTGGACAATGACTAGGGATGACAGAAGGAGAATTGAAACCTTTGAGCTGTTGGACTGGAGAAGAGTATTGAATATACCATGGACTGCTAGGAGAACAAACAGGGCTGTCTTGGAGAGGGTGAAACCAGGCTACTCCTTTGAGGCAAGGATTCTGAAGCTTTGTCTGACATACCTTGCAAGGAGGGACAAGTCATTGGAGAGGGACATTATGCTTGGGAGGGTGGAAGGACAGTACAAGAGAGGAAGGTCATCGATGAGATGAATTGATTCAGTGACTGGGGTAATGGAGGTAGGTGTGTCAGAGATGATGAGGTTAGCTCTGGATAGAGCAGGGTTCAGAGCTGTTGTATAGAGAGTCGCTATGAGTCTCAAGTGACTTGACGGCACATAACAACAACATGCCACATTTTCCACAGTATTTCAACCTTATTCAAAATGTAATGGCACACTTAATAGACTCCAGTATATTGTAAACATAACTTTTTTATGTAGAGGAAGCCAAAATATTAGTATGATTCACTTTGTTACTATGGACTGGAACTAAAGTACCAACAAATATCTCGAAGATGTGCCTGAGAGAGTCACCTAGCACATGGCATAAGGCCAGTATAGAACAAATGGACCTCCACCTTCTACCAAAGTTAATTTTGGGCCAAATTTTTCACTCCCAAAGCCCATTATCAGATCAGGGCTATCTATATATGCACATATTTTTATTAGTAGTTGTAATTAGGTGCTATTGGATTGATTTTGATTCCTAGGGACCCATAAAATAGAGTACAACCACTGCATAGGGTTTCCTTGGCTGTCATTTTTACTGGCACAGATTGTCAAGTCTCTCTCTCCCATACTACCACTGGGTGGGTTTGAACTTCCAACCTTTAGTTTTGCTTCACTGTTGCACCACCAGGTTCCTTCCTCTCTACCATCAGTTGCATAGTTTAAAAAGATAAAATATTTACCCTATGTCTCATATGACTACTACATTAAAATGACATATTTTTGGGTAATAGAAGAAACATTACAAAGAAATTGTTAGAGTAAACCCAAGATGTGTTAAAGTTTTTCATATTTTTTTCTAAAAGACATAAATTATTTGAGTGGGTACCATAGACAACATACCAGAAAATTAATCATTCAATGGCACAGATTTGTTTAAAAACCTTTTAACTGGCCTTTCTATTTATGATAAGTTGTTTCCTGAAAGACTTGCAACCACTTTTACTTTGGCAAAGAAAGATCCACTTTAGGATTTAAAAAAAATCATTACTGAATGTTAGGTATTTCATAGCATCTCTTCACTTTCTTCGCTGCCTTTGTTTTAGTTTAGCCAAGCAAAGAAATTTGTCCACAGGGGATTTTGTATGTTACATGTTTCTCTTTTCATTCTCTCCTGATATCTGCCTCTTTCTGTCACATATTTCCAACCGCCTCTGCACCTTGTGAGCTTTTGGAGCTGTGATAGTTTCTCTGGGTGTGAAAGTTCAGTTGCTGGGTAACTACTGTTGTTAGTTGCTGTCATATCACCTTTGACTTGTTAAAATCCCATACACACAACTCAACAAAACCCAGCCTGATCTAGCACCATCCTCCTGTTGAATTTTGGATAGGACCGTGTGGTCCACAGATTTTCATTATGTGATTTCTGGTAGTAGTTATCAGGCCTTTCTTCCTTGTCTGTCTTAACTCTGAAAGCTCTCCTGAAATTTGTTCAACATCACAGCACCACACAAAAGCTACCCTGACTAAAAAGCAAACCTAGTCTCTTTTGCAGAAGGTGATAATTCCCAGTGGGGCACACCAGTATGTAGGATTAAAGTAGTAAAGGCGTTTACTGTATGCGGACTCAGTTACCTACATGCCTTTGTATTATTAGTTCTTAATGATGGAGCCAGAGGAAACGCTGTGATTCAAGTTTTATGTCCATGGATTTGTAGGATCAGAACTTAATCAAATGGTCATTTGAGACATGTTAAAACTATTGAAATAATAATAGGACAACTAAATAAATACTAGGACAATACTTAATTGTATGCTTACTATGGAAGGTATTCTTAGCACTCCAGATAGTTAACCCATTTAATCCTCACCATCTCTTCTAAGAAGATCAAAGAATACAGCCTTAAATATGGATTGCATCTCCATGTCAAGAAAACAAAATTTCTTACCATTGGACTAATGGGCAACATCATGATAGATGGAGAAAAGACAACTTTATCTGTCAATAACTTTATCTTACTTGAATTCATGAAATCAGGAGACATAATACACTGGGACAGTCTGCAGTCAGGGACTGCGCCAAATTACTGAGGAACAGTGATGTCAGTTTGAGGACTAAGGTGCATGTGATTCAGGCCATAATCTTTCCAATCACTTGCTGTACATCTGAGAGCTGGTCAGTGAATAAGGATGATAGAAGAAGAATTGATGCCTTTGAGCTGTGATATTAGAGAAGAGTACTGAACATGCCATGGACTGCCGAAAGAGCAAACAGCTATGTCTTGGAGAAAGTATAGCCAGAGAGCTCGTTGGAATTAAAGATGTTAAAGCTGCATTTCATATAATTCGGGCATGTTACTGGGAGAGGCTATTCTTTGAAGAGGGACATTGCAAAGGCAGAGGGTCAGTAAAGGAGAGGAAGACCCTCAAGCAGGTGGATTGACACGGTGACTGCCACAGTGGGCTTTAGTGTGTCAGCAAGTGCGAGGCTGGCAGAGGATACGACACTGTTTACGTCTGTTGTTCATAGGGTCGCTGTGTGTCATACTCAATTCAGTGACACCTAACAACATAACAATCTCTTCTGACCCACCTCACCACCTCACTTCCTCACCATCTCTTCTCACCACTTCACTGCTGTTGAGTTGATTTCAACTCATGGTGACCTTCTGTCAGGTTTCTGGGGCTGTAAATTCTTACAGAAAGAAGACTGCCCAGCTTTCTTCCACAGAGTGGCAGGTGGATTCAAATGGCTGGCCTGTGGTTAGTAGCCTGACACGTGATACACTATTCCAGCAGGGCTGTCATCTTCTGTAAAGTGGGGACTGAGTGACTGAGAGAGTACATAAGTTCTTCATGTCTATTCAGTAAGTGGCATGGTCTCATTTTAAACCTAGGTATCTTGGCACTAAAATCTGTGCATTTAATAACACAGGGAGTTCTGGTAGCCTAGTGGCAAAAAGCTGCTGTCCTGAAAGCATGCAGTTCAAGGCCACCAGCTGCTCCATGGGAGAAGGATGGGCAGTCTGCTCCTGTGTGATTAACAGCCTCTGGAAACCTGCTGGAGGGTCAGCTATCGGGTTTATTCTGACTCTGTAGTATACAACAGCAGCAGCAGCAACAACAGCAATAATAATAATAATACATTATAATAAAGGGGGCTCTATTGGTCTAGTGGTAAGAAGCTGCTCTTCAATGCCAGAGGCAAGTGGTTTGAATCCACCAGCTGCTCCATAGGAGAAGGATGGTCAGTCTCCGTGTGATTAACTGCCTCTGAAAACCTGTGGAGGGTCAGCTGTGGGTTGGTTCTGACTTGACAGTCCACTGATAATGAATGAGTGCTGTTTATGAAGTTCAGGCTGTGATGAGTTAAGTGACCATTTTAAAGGGAACAATTCAGTGGTATTTAGTACATTCACATTGTAGAAATACTACTTCTGTTTAGTCCTAACACATTTTTTAATACCCCAGAAGGAAATTCCATTAACATTAAGCAGTTTTTCTTCACTTCTCCCTTCATCCAGCCCCTGACAACTGCCAGTCTACTCTCTCTATGGACTTACCTATTCTGAATATTTCATTTAAGTGGAATAATACAAACTGTGGCTGTTGTGTCTGGCTTCTTTCACTTGGGATGGTGTTACTGAGCCATACCTGTTTTTATGGCTGAAAAGTATTGCATTATATGGATATGCTGGATTTTGCTTACCTCATCACACATTGGTAAACATTTCGGCCTTTTGGCTGTCATTGAGTAATGCTGCATTAATATGATGGCCATGCATTTATTTGTATTATAGAGTTTTAAATGTCTTTTCTCGTAATAACTCTATGCCTTTGAGCATGCAACCTGTCAATAGGGAGAAAGAAAGATAGCCAACATAAAAAAGTGGCTTAAATACTCAGTTGATAACTGAGAGGTGGGCAGTTTAAACACCTCAGCTGCTCCATGGGAGAAAGATGAGGCATTCTCTTTCTGTAAATATTTTTGAACTTGAAACCCTATGGGTGCATCGGAATTGAGTCATTATGTTAAGAAACGTACATATATCTCATTCTATTTCCTCAGTAACCCTGTGAAGTAAGTTTCTTTCAAGCAAGAAAAACCAGGAAGGGTTAAGTAACTTTTCAGAAGTCACACACCAGGGAATGCAGCACTGTGGCTTAAACTTGTATCTTTCCAACTGCAATGCCTAAAACCTTCCACAAATCCTTCACCTAGATGTGAGAGGGAATCATAGGCAGATACAGGTAATCTCCACATTCTTTATACCTGAGTAATGGATGCATCTCACAGTTCTCTATGGGCCCTCACCTTTCCTTTTGCTTCTGTAACTTGGAATTTCTGTCTTTTACTTACACTGTGTACTTTGGCGAAGCCTCCTGGCTTGGTGCTTAAACACTAAGTTGCTAACTGAAAGGTTGGCATTTCAAACACGCCAGTTGCACTGTGGGAGAAAGATGAAACAGTCTGTGTCTGTAACTATTGATGTTGTGTTGTTGTTGTTTTGTGCTGTCGAGTCGCTTGCGACTCATAGCGACCCTATGTACAACAGCCCTAAACTCTGCTCTGTCCTGTGCCAATTGTACTATCTCTGACACTCCCATCCCAATTATACCAGTCACTGAATCAATCCACCTCATAGAGGGCCTTCCCCTCCTGCGATGTCCCTCCACCCTACCAAGCATGATGTCCCTCTCTAAGGACCGGTCTCTCCTCACAACATGTCCAAAGTATGTTAGACGGAGCCTCAGAATCCTTGCCTCCAAGGAGCCACCCGGTTTAACCCTTTCCAGGACAAATCTGTTTGTTTTCCTAGCAGTCCATGGTATTCTCAATACTCTTCTCCAGCACCACAGCTCAAAGGCATCGATTCTCCTTCTATCCTCCTTGGTCATTGGCCAACTCTCTGATGCATAACAAGTGATTGCAAAGACCATGGCCTGTATCAGATGCACCTTAGTCTCCAGAGAGACACCATTGCTTTTCAGTACTTTGGAGAGGTCCCTAACAGCAGACTTTCCCATGGCAATGCACCTTTTAATTTCCTGGTTACTGGTGCCAAGACTGTTGACCGTAGAGCCAAGCAAACTAAAGCTGTGTACAATCTCAATCTCTTCACCATCCATCCTGATGCTGCCAATTGGTCCAGTGGTGAGAATCTTTGTCTTCTTGACATTGAGCCTCAATCCATAGCCTAGGAAATCAGTGGGGAGCAGGTGTGCTCTGTCCTGTATGGGATTGCCAGGTGTCAGAATGCAGTCAGCCACAACAGGGTCAGGGCGGGCGGTTTGGAACAGGAAAAGTGCAGACTGTCTCACCGGCACTGATGTCTTTTTTGCAGACCAGTTTTTCTTTGGCCTTACTACTTTGGCTTACTTCCTCATGTCCTGGCATGTCACCAGGCTTTCTCTCTGCGCTTCCTCATTTAAACACTTGCCATGCCACCTCCAGGCTGAACTCGCCAAGGACACATCTAATCCTGCATCTTCTCTTCAGAGTCTGAAAGATGTCATGCCCCGCTGAACTCAGCTGGCAACAGAGACCGTTTGCAGATCTGGCCTCTGCTGTCTCTTTGCCCTCAGCTCTTGCTTCCTCCTGATGACACATGTGCTTAGGATCCCCATCTTGTTGCACTGCTTGCAGTTCCTGGCATAGATCCTGCTGTCTCCTGCAACCATGCCTTTCACCTTTTCTATTAGCCTAGATAACTTTGTGTGTGTGCACGCACGCGCGTAAGTGGGTTTTTCCAAATGATCCCCTGCAGACTTCACAGTTACCTGTGAAGTGGGTAGGGTGTTTTAAGGCCCCTTGCGCTGTCCCGCTTTTCCACCTTTACAAAGACTCTCAAGAAAACAAAGATTCTCACCACTGGATCAATTGGCAGCATCAGGATGGATGGTGAAGAGATTGAGATTGTACACAGCTTTAGTTTCCTTGGCTCCAAAGTCAACACTCTTGGCACCAGTAGCCAGGAAATTAAAAGACGTATTGTGATGGGAAAGTCTGCTGTTAGGGACCTCTCCAAAGTTCTGAAGAGCAATGGTGTGTCTCTGGAGACTAAAGTACGTCTGATACAGGCTATGGTCTTTGCACTTGTTGTGCATCAGAGAGTTGGACAATGACTAGGGAGGATAGAAGGAGAATTGATGCCTTTGAGCTGTGGTGCTGGAGAAGAGTCTTGAGGGTACCATGGACGGCTAGGAAAACAAACAGATTCATCCAGGAGAGGGTTAAACCAGGCTGCTCCTTGGAGGCAAGGCTTCTAAGGCTTTGTCTGACATACTTTAGACATGTTGTAAGGAGGGACCTGTCCTTGGAGAGGGACATCATGCTTGGGAGTGTGAAGGTACAGTGGAGGAGAGGAAGGCCCTCTAGGAGGTGGATTGATTCAGTGACTGGGGTAATCGGGATGGGTGTATCGGAGACAGTATGATTGGCACAGGACAGAGCAGAGTTTAGGACTGTTGTATACAGGGTCACAATGAGTTGCAAGCGACTCAACGGCACATAACAACAACAACAGATAACTTTGAAAACTGGTCTCGGACATTACTTCTCTTCTTCATCTACCAGGATAGAGTTAACCACATTTTTATTTATGTACACACGCTTCTCTGATTTTTGTAATAATACTTTGACAGTTTATTTATATTTGTTTGAATGATTGTGGTAATGGGATCTGATCAATGCTCTAGTGGCTGAGGTTTTTGCACTATCTTTTTTTCCCCCTCCTTGATGGTTCTGTAGATCTCTCCCAACACTGTTATTATTGCTGTTATACACCAGTGAATTGGAACTGACTCATAGCTTACCCTCCAGTGGGTTTTCATAGGCAATAAGCACACAGGAGATTGCCCATCTTTCTCCCTGGAGCAGCCGGTGGATTTAAATCATGTGCCTTTGAGTTGCCAGTACTACTACTTACCACCAGAGCTCCCTAATGTTGTTCTGAAGTGTTATCGAGTCAAGAATAATTCATAGTGGCCCTCCTACGAACAACAGATCTGAACCATGTCCCATCCTGTGCCATCCTCATCATCTCTGATACACTTGTGCCCATTACTGCCATCACTATGTCAGTCTGTCTCATTGAGGGTCTTTCTCTCCTTCATTGACCCTCCACCTTTCCAAACATGATGTCTCTTTCCAAGGAATAACCTCTCCTAGCAACATGCCCCAAAAAACGAGAGATAAAGCTCTACCATCTTTGCCTCCAAGGTGCAATTTGGCTGTACTTTCCCCAAGAGATATCATTAGCTTATATCAAAGTGTGTCTCTTGCTGTGGATGTGCAAATAGAGTTACCGTCCTATCCAAAGAAGAGTATAACTTATGAAACAGAAATACCCAGTGGTTTTGCTTTGCACTGTTTCTCTCTTTCCCTTTGGAGGGAGAATTAAAGTCTAACCTGCCTCACGTAGAGCTTGCTTGGATGACATTATTCATTTACATGCAAAACTGAATTCAAGAAACAGGTTATAATCTCCATCTAGCAGATCTGAGAGAAGAATTGAGAAAATCCTGCTTCTAAAAACATTTTGCTGACTGATGAATTAGGCAGTTAAATGTATTGCATTTTTCCTCTTTTTACTTCTGCTGTGGTGGCTATAGGTTGGAAAGTTAGCATTTTGAATCTCTGAGGCACGCAGCAGAGGAAAGATGAGCTGTTTCCTCTAGTAGAAATTTATGGCCTCAGGAGCCCCGTGGAGGGCCACTTGGCGCTAGAAACAATTTGATGGGAATGGAAGTGGGCGAGTTGATTTCAGCCTATTAGCAATATCACTGTTCACATATCAAGAATGGAGCTCTGGTGGCCTAGTGGCAAGAAGCTGCACTGCAGTCCCAGAGGAACACGGTTTGAATCCAGACGCTCTGCCGGAGAAGGAGGTGCAATATCCTCCTGTACCAGTCAGATCTGATTTGACGGTACACGCACACAAAAAAAAAAAAAAAAAAGAATGATCGATTCCCTCCGGGGATAATTGTCCTTCAGTATTTTATTTTGTGGTTATCATTTCTGATCATTCAGATAGCGGTGGGTATTTACTGTGTGGTATGTGTCACAAGAAGCAATAAAGATGTCACATGTAGGGCTGTGAGGCTGGGGAACAGTGGAGGAAAGATGTGAACTTGTCCCGTATTTGTTGTTGTTGTGTACCATTGAGTCAGAACCGACCCATAGCTGACCCTAAAGTGGGTTTTTAGAAGCAGTTAATCTCAGTGGAGGAGAATGCCTGTTCTTCTCCTGCATCCTTTATTTGCATACTATTATTTACATTGACTTTGGTGTTTTCTTTTCTTTTAATTTTTTCTCTGTCTAGTGCAGTTAACACTGTGAATGCATCCAGAATTCTGACTTTTGTCAGCTGCAGACTTGGTTGATTTAATGGGAAGAGGCAACACATCCTGGTGGCATGTCCCTGTAGCAGGTATGTATTATATAGTGTGCATATCATAACACATTCTTCTTTTGTTCTTTCTTTGTTCAGGCAAATAGAGTGTTGCGAAACGGCAGATGAGTTCTACAGCACCATGGGGCGCCTGACCCAGGAAATGCTGGATAACGACCTTCTGGAAAGCCACGAGCTCATGCAGGTGAATGGGCACCATGGCTGGTCTTGGCTCATGGCACCGAGGAAATAACCAGTGCTGGAACTGGGGTCTGAGATTATGTGCTTGGCCTTAGCTTTTCTGTTAAGTAAGAGTCTCTAGAAATAATTCATTAAGAATCCAGTTATGACAAAAGAAGAAAAAAAGAAATATAGGGTTGTTCCAACTTCCATTCAAACTGTGTTCTTGGAGATCACTGGGGCTTTCCTGGAGGCTCTTTAAAGGGAAAGAGGAGAGCTGTGGACCTGAAAGATGTCAAGATAAACAGGAAGATGATCTGAATGTTGTCTTGTGTCACTCACACATGCAGTTCTGTGAAGGATGTATCTGATCGGGTCAAGTGAGACAGCTGGATGTCCTGTGAGGAGGCAGTGATGAGGGTAGAGATAAGAATAGAGCAAAGCTGATCATTAGAAAGAGAAATGAATTAGACCTGACCATTGAAAAATGATGTTCGAGCAAAGGAGGAAGAAATGGAGAAGCCTCCAACTTTGTGTAAGGTGATGGGGGAAGTAGTGCACTCCTTTACACTGCAGGTGTATTCTAAGGTACTTCCACAGTTTCACGAGACACACCTGTTGCACTCATCATAGCTCTGGCCCTGTTTGTTCTTGGGACAGGGCTCGTGGGCCCCGTTAGGCTCCATCTGTTGCCTATCTTCCTGGACTAGGTTCAATCTCTTCACTTCCTCATCCTGATGTAGCCTTTCATATCTCAGCCCTCAGTATTTAAGAGCTGCCATAGTGTCCCTGGCTGTGTTGCAGGGAGACCGTCTGCTCAGTCCTGTGGGGTGCAGGAGCTTTGTTTCTGCCTATACGCCTGGACTCTGGGGATGGAGATGAGGAACAACATGCTTTCCTCAGACAATGAGGCGTTCTGCCCTCCTGCTGCCGTAATTCCTCTCTGCTGAGAGCCAAAGCCGGCAGGAGAGCTGTGCCATCGGCACTTGGTGATGCTCCGCACTGAAGTTTCCTGTGTGTTTTCCCTCCTGTCGTCCCATCCTTTCCATGGGCCTCTACTACCAGCCTGTGCTGTGGGACTGTCGGGGCATTTACTTCACAGTTGAGGGGCTTTGGCCTGAAATAAAATTCAAGTGTTTAAAAAAAAAAAAAAAAGAGGTGACCTAATGGTAAGAAACTGTGTTGCAATCCTGAAGAGATCCAGTTAAAATCCACCAGCTTCTCCGTGGAAGGAGGATGGGCAATCTCCTGTGCAGTTGACAGCGTCTGAAAACCTTCTGGAGGGTCATCTATTCTATGGGTCAGTTCTGACTTGTTTACAATAACAAGCTAGTAAGAGAGCTACCCAAAGGTAGGCGGTTCAAATTCACTCACTGCTCCCTGAAGACAGATGGGCAAGCTCTCTTCCTGAGCTATTTACAGCCTTTGAAAACCTGGTGGAGGGTCAGCTCTAAGTCAGTTCTGACTTGATGGCACAGAACAACAACAACAAGCTTATAAGAGGGAGCTGTGGTGACCTGGTGCGTAAGGAGTTGTGCTGTCACTGCAGATGTAGAAAGTTCGAACCCATGATCTACTCCTCAGGAGAAGGATTAGTGGTCTCCTGCCATGTGACTCACAGCCTCTGAAATACTGCTGGAGGGTCAGCTCTTGCTTCTGACTGAATGACTGGAGTATCTGATTTTTTAAAAGAATATTCCAGTTCCTTAATGGTAACCACTAACCAGTTGTCATCAAGTCAGTTCCAGCTCACGGTGACTCAACATGTCCAAGTGGAACTATGTCCCAAAAGGTTTTCAGTGGCTGCCCTTTCAAGGTGCTCCTCCCCTCCGAGAATGTGGCTTCACCTGGCAGAATGGCTGTCCTTTCAGAAGTAGGTTTCCAGGTCTTTTATCTATGGTGCCTTTGAGTTGACTCAGATTGCTAACATTTTGGGTAAAAGTTGAGCACTTAAGTATTTGTGCCACTCAGGAATTCTTCCTCAAAAATGGGGAAAAAAATCCCCCCCACAAGACAAAACCCTCAAACCATGCTAGTTCTTATGTAGTTGATTCTGACTTCTTCTGTCCAACCCTGTGTGTGGCAAAGTAGAACTACCCCATAGAGTTATCTTGAAACTCTGTTTGAAAGGAGATTTGCAGACCTTTTTCACAGGGTACTCCAGAAAAGGGGGTTTGAACCAACCCTTCAATTAGGAGTCAGCATTTAACCATTTATACTGCTTCAGTACACCTTAGGCATTCTGTTTTTCTCTTGCTCACTGCCATGGGGTGAGAACTGACTTGAGGTTGACACTCAAGTGGGTTTTCCAAAGCTGTAATTTGCTTGAGATGGGGTTACACGTTTTCTTCCTCAGAGTGACTGGTGAAGGTGAACCGCTACAGAAGTGTGACCTTCCGGTTAACAGTGTGATGCCCTGTGGAAAATGCCTCCAGGGCTCTTTTCTCTTTATAGGAGCCTTGTGTGATTTTGTATTTCTATAACCAAGTGCAGTGCTAAAAATATATCTGGCTGCTTAATGATCACACCCAATCACAGAATAGGAAAATTTAAGGTTGTGATTTTCAAACTTGAGTATGTATGAGAAACATCACAGGTATATGAAAATGCAGATATTTGGCTCATGAATGGTTCTCTCTAATGCAGGTCACTTTTAGCTAGCACTTAGAGAACACTAGCTTAAAGGAGAGAAGTCGCTAGGACTTGGAGAATGTGAACAGACACAGAACCGAGACCCATGTCTGTGATTCCTGGCCTGATGAAAGCTTTTCCCCACAACACACTGCTTCCAGCATATCTATGACATGCCCCTTTACAAACTAAACTCCTCTTAGAAGTATAAGGCAACATCTTATTTAGAAGTAGAAAATTTTTCAGAAGGGATGAGTGAGATCAGAAGCTTGGGTTTTCTTGGGTGCCCTCTCTGAAATTCTACCTTAGGAGAAAGAAAAGAGAAAGTCCTTCCTACCCTACTGCTTTAAGAGAATCCTAGAGGGAGAAATGGCAGCTGTGGTTTGACTGATTAGATTCCATTTCAGTAGCTTTTCTTCTGTGGAGGAAAACATCTGGGTGAAGATGAACTGAACCTAATTTTATACAACTTTTTTTAAATGTTTTTTGTAAAGCACGTCAATAATGAATAAGGAAATCTGGTTCCTTTTCAGCAGAGCCTAAAAATAAATGTCTAATTGGGTGCTGGCATTTCAGATAGTAAATAGACCTTGGTTTTCCTTGGCATCATAGAGTATTGAGAAGAGAAAGGGTGACTATGACTTTAAGCCTCTCTCTTCTCCATACTCACTTTTTAAAATTAATTCAGTGTCTGTGATCGACTGGTGGGCCATGAGTCTTTCTGCAAATCTGAAATGACTCTAGTTGGAAAACATACCTAACGTAAGGTCTTGTGTCTGAACTGAAGATGGTAAAGAATTCCCTTTTCATATTCCCCAATTCTTATTCTAAAATAGACTCTCTCCCCCCTCCCTTAGAAATAACATTGTTTATTTTTCTTATTAGCAACATTATCTTTACAAAAAATTCATAATAGTAAAAGATATTGAGGGAATACTCAGAAAATAGTATGTTTGAGTTTCAGAAAGACCCTTAACAGTTTCTTGTGAATCCTCAGGTGCTATTTTGAGAAAGTTTTATTGGTGATGGTTGACACAGGACACATTCTGACTCCTGGTGACTGCATCTATACAGAGAAGACCTGCTCTGTAGGAGTTTTAAGGTCACAACCTTTTAGAATCACATAGCCAGGACTGTTGGCTAAGGCACCTGTGATTGGATTTGAACTGCTAATCTTTCAGCTAGTTGTCAGGTGTTTAAGTGTGTGTGCCAGATGCTTGAAAAACTCCAGTCCAAGTATCTGCTAGAGTTACTGTCACCTAAAGGGAGCATTCAAGAGAGCTCTTCATTCAAGGGTGACTTAATGATGAGGAGTTGAGCTACCAACCCAAAGGCTTGTGCTTCAAATTCACCAGTTGCTCCACTAGAGAAAGACAGGCAGTCTCCTGCCCTGTGATTTAATGTCTCTGAAAAGCCACTGGATGGTCAGCTATGAGTCCGTACCAGCTTGATGGTACATAACAACAAGTAAAGAGGGCCTTCAGGAGTCATGAGAAAGGATCTGCCCTCAGGCCCACATGGCTCACTTTCCCCCATCAGTTTTAGGTGGGGAATTACCAGGAATGGATGCTTGTTCTGTAGACAGATGGTGTTTGATTAATTGTTGTTGTTCAGTGCTGTCAAGTCGTAGACAACTCGTAGAGTACCTATGAATGAAAGACCTGAACAGTTATATAACTTTCATCTTTTCTCCAAGTTCATAGAGTGTCTGGAGACAAGCTCGTTCAAAAGTGGATGCCACTCCTGCTCCCAAGCTTGTTTTTATTTTTTTTTAAATTTTTATTTATTTATTTTTTCCCCCAAGCTTGTTTTAATCGGGGGTCCCACCAAACACTGTCCATCATGGCTAACCATTATCACATTTGATGCATCAGTATCACAGTGTTTAGAATCACCTCTATACAGCAAATTTTGATTAATTAGTGCTGTCAAAATGGAAACTGCTCTGCAAATAGTGTATGTCTATAACTAGAAGTGTTTATATACTGCCTTAATAACCATCAGTTGGAGATGTTCTAGAAAGGACTTCTTCTAGGGAAGGAGGTTGAACTGAATTCTGTTTAATATTCTTTTGACCTTATGATTCTGTTGTTATTATTGTGTGTGCCTTTGAGTCAGTTTCTGACTCCCAGTAATCAGTCAGGACAGAGTAGAAAGGCCCCAAAGGGTTTCCAAGGCTGTAGATAAAGATTTTTTTGTCTCCGGAGGCTGACTGTGATATTTTCTCTTAGGGAGTGGCTGGTGGGTTCGAACCACTAACCAAAAAGCCCTTAACCACTGTGCTACCAGGGCTCTTTAAGATTATTTCACTATATAATATTTTGGTTCTAAGACGACTGGTAAATTTTATGTCTTGTAAATCATCAACTTACGAAGTTAGAAACTTAGGCTTTA